GAAATAACCATTGGGCTCGAAATTGTCGAGCCCCAAGGCACGAGGTTGAAAAATACCAAGATTCCCAGAAATCAAAAGATAAGAATATAGAAACTAATTTTATGGTTGGGGAATCCTCTGAAAATGATGCAACGCGTGTGGATGATGACTATGGCATCGATGACATATTGAAACTGGATTTTGCCGATGCGGCATTTGAAGACGGAGCTGGAAATGACCTAGAGAATAACTGATGATCATGTTTTTATTTTGCTTTTTGAGTTGTAATGTATTTGTGTATGAGCTACTTGTATCTGTACTTTGAATTTGATCAATAATAAATGTTGTTTTCTTTTAGATCATGGATCGGTCTCGAATTCAAGATGGAGATATATGTATTGCAGATTGTGCTACTACTCATACTATCCTCAAGGACAGAAAATATTTCGTGAACTTGAAATTAAATGAAGCAAAAGTAAACACAATATCCGGAAGTGCAAAGATAATTGAAGGTTTTGGAAAAGCCATATTTTTTATGATGGGCGGTACAAAATTTATATTAAGTGATGCACTATTCTCCCCAAAATCAACAAGAAATTTGTTGAGTTTTAAAGATATCCGAACGAACGGATACCACATTGAAACGATGAATAAAGGGGGAGTTGAATATCTTTGCATTACCTCAGATAATGCGGGAAATAAATGTGTTTTGGAGAAGTTACCCGCTTTATCCTCGGGTTTGTATTATACCCGGATTAATATAATTGAGGCATATGCTGCAACAAATTCAAAGTCGAATGAAATATTTAAACTTTGGCATGATCGACTTGGTCACCCTGGCTCGATAATGATGCGACGAATTATTGAAAATTCTAGTGGCCATCCACTAAAAAATGAGAGGATATTGCAAACACATGAGTTGACATGTGCCTCTTGTTCTCAAGGGAAATTGATAATGAGACCATCACATACTAAAGTCGGACATGAATCACCATTATTTTTAGAAAGGATTCATGGTGATATATGTGGACCTATTCATCCACCTTGTGGTCCATTCAGATATTTTATGGTGTTGATTGATGCCTCTAGTAGATGGTCTCACGTAAGTTTGTTATCCACTAGAAATATGGCATTTGCTAAATTACTTGCCCAACTTATTAAATTAAGGGCTCAATTCCCAGATTATATTATCAAGAGAGTCAGACTGGATAATGCTGGAGAGTTTACATCTCAAGCATTTAATGATTATTGTATGGCTGTGGGAATTGATGTTGAACATCCTGTGGCACATGTTCACACTCAAAATGGTCTAGCAGAATCACTTATTAAACGACTGCAGCTTATAGCTAGACCATTGATAATGAGAACAAAACTCCCCACTTCAGTATGGGGACATGCTATTCTGCATGCAGATGATCTAATTCGAATAAGACCAAGTGCATACCATACATTCTCGCCATTACAGTTGGCATATGGTCGAGTACCAAATATTGCACATATAAGAGTTTTTGGTTGTGCAGTATATGTACCAATTGCTCCGCCACAACGTACAAAAATGGGGCCTCAAAGAAGGTTGGGAATATATGTTGGATATGAATCTCCATCAATAATCAAATACCTTGAGCCAAAAACAGGTGATGTTTTTACAGCTCGTTTTGATGATTGTCATTTTAATGAAGAATTGTTTCCCCCTTTAGGTGGGAATGAAAAGTCAATTGAGAGAAATATTGAATGGAGAACATCCGCATTATCATATCTTGATCCTCCCACCAAACAAAGAGAGCAAGAAATTCAAAAGATCATACATTTGCAGAATATTGCAAATCAATTGCCAGATGCATTTACTGATTTAAAAAGGGTGACCAAATCACATGTGGTAGCCGTAAATGCCCCTGCTCGAATTGAGATTCCAAAAGAAATGGCAAATGACGATAAGCCAAATGAGTCAAAGACACGCTTGAAACGAGGAAGACCAGTTGGGTCTAAAGATAAGAATCCTCGAAAGAAAAGAGAAATTCTTGACTCCAATTTGAAAAGGAATCAAGATGATGGAAAAATTTCGGGACAAAATGAAAATATTGAAATTTCCATCAATTACGTGAACAATGGGAATCTTTGGAAGCGTGATGAGATCATGAATAATGATGATGCATTCGCATATATGGTATCAAAAGAAATTGATAATGAAGTTGAGGATCCTGAACCAAAATCTGTAGCTGAATGTCAGAAAAGACGTGACTGGGATAAATGGAAAGGCGCCATTCAAGCCGAGTTAGATTCACTAAATAAACGAAAAGTTTTTGGGCCTATTTCCATTATACCAAAAGGCATAAAACCCATTGGATACAAATGGGTTTTCACCAGAAAAAGAAATGAGAATAATGAGATCACGAGATATAAAGCTCGCCTTGTTGCACAGGGATTCTCCCAAAGGCCTGGGATCGATTATGATGAAACATATTCCCCTGTCATGGATGCAATTACTTTCAGATACTTGATGAGTTTAGCTACCCATGAAAATCTTGAGATGCGTCTCATGGATGTTGTGACTGCTTACTTGTATGGATCATTAGACACCGACATATACATGAAAGTCCCAGAAGGAATCAGAATGCCCGAAGCACTGAACTCAAAACCTAAGGAGTTATGTGCGTTAAAGTTGCAAAGATCATTGTATGGCTTAAAACAATCCGGGCGTATGTGGTATAATTGTTTGAGTGAACAATTACTAAAAAGGGGATACTTGAATGATCAAATATGTCCGTGTGTTTTCATAAAGAAATCACATGATGGAGTTGTGATAATTGCTGTCTATGTTGATGATCTTAATATTATTGGGACAGCAAATGAAATTCGAGAAGCAGTTACTTTTCTGAAAGGCGAATTTGAAATGAAAGATCTCGGAAAAACTAAATATTGCCTTGGCTTACAGATAGAGAGAGTACAAAATGGGATATTCGTCCATCAATCTAACTATACTAAAAGAGTACTGAAACGATTTAATATGGACAAAGCTAATCCCCTTAGTACTCCTATGGTTAACCGAACATTGGATGTTGAAAAGGATCCATTTCGACCTTGTGAAGAAAATGAAGAAATACTTGGTCCTGAGGTACCATATATGAGTGCAATAGGGGCTCTTATGTATCTTGCTAATTGCACCAGACCAGATATATCTTTTGCTACCAACTTGTTAGCAAGATATAACTCGTCACCTACAAGGAGACACTGGAATGGAATCAAGCATATATTCCGTTATCTCCAAGGAACAATCGATCTGGGATTATTTTACTCAAATGATAAAAAACATGAAATGATCGGTTTTGCAGATGCAGGATATTTATCAGACCCACATAAGGCGAGATCTCAGACTGGCTACGTTTTCACTATTGGTGGAACTGCATTTTCCTGGCGTTCTCAGAAACAAACACTAGTTGCTACATCTTCAAACCATGCTGAAATCATTGCACTGCATGAAGCAACTAGGGAGAGCATCTGGCTCAGAAATATGACTCAACACATTCAACAAGCCAGTGGATTATCAAATAATAAAGATCCGACAGTCATATTCGAAGACAATGCAGCATGTGTCGCTCAGACCAAAGAAGGATACGTCAAGAGTGACAGAACTAAACATATCCCACCAAAGTTCTTCTCATACACTCAAGAGCTTGAAAGGAACAAACAGATCAAGATTCAATACATCCGATCATGTGATAATGCAGCAGACTTATTTACGAAGGCGCTCCCAACTACAACATTTCGAAAGCACGTCCATAACATTGGAATGAGACATCTTCGAGATTTACACGGATGATAACTCGAGGGGGAGCATGTGCGGCTGTACTCTTTTTTCCTTATCTCGGTTTTTTTTTCCCACAGGGTTTTTCCGAATAAGGTTTTTAATGAGGCAGCATAAACGCACATTGCATAGTGGTAATTCCAAGGGGGAGTGTTATAAACAAGTGGAATGAACCACTATGCATGAATAGTGACATTTCACTATTTGAATAAATGGGAATAGTAATAGATATGAATGTGGTGTAAATTATTGTATGTTATGTCGGGAAAGTTTGCCTATAAAAGGTACCCGAAATGCAATGGAAAATGTACATTCAGAAGAAGAAAGAAATACTGAGTATAATTCATATCCAATTGTGTTCTTTATCTTTCCGTTTTTATAACATTTATTTATTTATGTGAATTGGCGGATAATTCCTACTTCCTAATCAAATTGACATAAACCAGAAAAGCATTAAAAAGGAAAAGAAAGAAACAATAGCATAAAAAGGAATTAAAGCATATAATACTTAACAAGTGAGTAATTGAAAAAGTAGCTTACTAAAGCCAAAGGATAATAATAGAATTACACATAATCCATGCAAGCACCAACACATAATTCGGATTGAAGTTGAATACTATGCTATTTTTCTGTACTTGTCATTGTTTGTGTAAAGAAAATTGAAATGTAATTTAATTATTGACCGTTTTTGCTAGCTAACAAATAATTATTGGTTATCCTGTCTTACTTCTGCTCATGTATTCTTGGAAAAAGTTTAGTCAAACAACTATTAGCACATATTTAAGTATATCAGACAAATCTATCATTAAAACAACTAAATTATATAGATGATAAACGTGTTTGACACCATATATGCAGATATTAAATGAAATAAAAACAAAATCAATAAAACCACAACAAATAAAATCCAAACACACTAGCTCAAAATTTCCAAACAAGACCTATATAGGTCCTCTTATTCTATTCTTGGGGGACATACAAACATAAAGCCTCTTTATGTAAAGATATACGCACTTCTCCGTTGTCTCTATCAATCTCACACAGAAAAATATTTGTTGCACCAAATGCTAATCCTACTAGAGAACCTGATCATATTCTTTATTTTTTATTTTTTCTCCCTATCCTCTCATCTCATAATCATCAATGGCATTAATTTACTCACTTAATTTGCACAACACACCCAACCCAAAATAAATAAATAAATAAAATTAAGAAATACAATCTCCTTCATCTTATATATCCCTTCCCTCCATCTCGACTCTTCCCGCTCAACCCAATCACGCTTTTTCGAACTCATGAAAACCTCAACCCACGGCGAATCCCTCTCCAGCTGGCAACTAAACGACACCAACAACAACAACAACACACACTACTACTGCACTCTCCCCGGCATCTCATGCGACCGCCAACAAAACATCATCCAAGTCGACATCTCCGGCTGGCTCCTCACCGGCCAATTCCCGGACAACACCTGTACCCACCTCCCCACCCTCCAAACCCTCCGTCTCGGCGGCAACACCTTCTCAAAATTCCCGCGCGGCCTCACAAACTGCTCCCACCTCCGCGAACTCAACGCCACTCGCGCCTACTTCACGGGCCCCTTCCCCGACCTCTCCCCACTCCACAAAACCCTCCGAATCCTCGACCTCTCCGACAACCGCTTCTCCGGGGACTTCCCCGTGTGGGCCCTCACCAACCTCACCAATCTCGAGTCCGTCAACCTCAACAACAACCAGAGGCTCAACCTCTGGCGACTCCCCCCGGACAGCATGACTAGCCTAACGTACCTCAAGTCCATGATACTTACCACGTGCATGCTCGGCGGGGAAATCCCGCCCTCTCTCGGGAACATGACGTCGCTCGTCGACCTCGAGTTGAGCGGGAACTATCTTACCGGGCCCGTGCCGAAAGAGCTCGGCTGGCTCCCGAACCTGAAGCTCCTCGAGCTTTACTACAATCAGCTCGAGGGCGAGATTCCTCCCGAGCTCGGGAACCTTACTACGCTCACGGACCTTGACATCTCGGTCAACAGGCTAGTCGGGAGAATACCGGACTCCATCTGCCGGCTCCCGAGCATCCGTATGTTGCAATTCTACAACAACAGTCTCGTAGGCTCGATACCCGAGTCGATCGGGAATTCGACTACCCTCTTCACTCTGTCTCTCTACAGTAACTACCTGACGGGCCGGGTCCCGTCTGGGCTCGGGCGGTTATCGGGCCTGGTCGGGCTGGACTTGTCAGAGAACCAGCTGTCGGGCCCGCTGCCCGACGGGCTCTGCAGCATGGGGAAGCTCAAGTTCCTCCTTATCCTCCAGAATTCTCTCTCTGGTGAGATTCCGGCCTCGTACGCCGAGTGCGAGTCACTCATACGGTTTCGCGTTAGCAGTAATAATTTGGAGGGGAGGATACCGCCCGGAATATTCGCCCTGCCTCATGTTTCAATCATTGATGTCGAGAAAAACAAGTTAACGGGCCCGATACCGGAGGAAATCCGGGCCGCGAAGAATTTGTCGGAGCTTTTCATGCACGGGAACCGGATTTCGGGCAGAATCCCACCTGAGATAGCTTGTGCCACTAATCTGGTTAAAATAGACCTAAGCGCGAACCTCTTATCAGGCCCAATCCCCTGGGAGATTGGGAGCCTGAAATCGCTGAATCTGCTAATGCTGCAGAACAATGAGCTGAGCTCGGAAATACCCGAGTCCCTCTCGTCCCTGAAATCCCTCAACGTGCTGGACCTGTCGAGCAACTGCCTGACCGGAAAAGTCCCGGCTAGCCTGAGCAGGCTTTTACCAAATTCTCTCAACTTCTCCAACAACCGGCTCTCGGGCGAGGTCCCGTTCCCGTTGGTCAACGGCGGTGTGCTGGAGAGCTTCGCGGGAAACCCGGGCCTCTGCTACGGGAACACCAGTTCCTCGTCGGGGGCGAATTTCCCGATTTGCCCTTCGGCTTTCCCGGACAGGCGGAGGACGACTAATGCGCTGTGGGTTGTGGGAGTGTCCCTCTGCATCCTTGTGATTGGAGCTGTCCTGTTTTTCAGGGCGTGGTACCGTAAGAACAAGCTGCAGCAGGTTTATTACGACAACGGATTTACCTCGTACGACGTGAAGAGCTTCCACCGATTCAGCTTCGATCAGCGCGAGATTTTGGACGCTGTTGTGGACAAGAATATTGTCGGGTACGGAGGGTCTGGGGCCGTCTACAGAGTCGAGCTCAACAGTGGGGAGACTGTCGCTGTCAAGAAGCTGTGGGCACGCAACAACAACAACAACAACAATAATAATAATAAGAAATGTAATGATGATGATGATGTGGCAGAGGTTGTAGACAGGGAGCTGAAGACGGAGGTGGAGACGCTAGGGAGCGTGCGTCACAAGAATATCGTGAAGCTCTACTGCTATTTCGCGGGGCGTGGCTGTAGCTTGCTCGTTTATGAGTATATGACGAATGGGAATTTGTGGGACGCTCTACACGAGGGGAAGGGGTTTTTGGATTGGCCGATAAGGCACCAGATAGCCCTTGGGGTGGCGCAAGGCCTGGCCTACCTGCACCATCATCTCATGCCGCCCATCGTGCATAGGGACATTAAGTCGACTAATATATTGTTGGACGTCGATTATTTGCCTAAGGTGGCCGATTTTGGGATAGCTAAGGTGCTGCAGGCCAGGGGGTCCAAGGACTCCGCCGCCTCCACCACTCTTGTTGCCGGGACGTACGGCTATTTGGCGCCTGGTAATTATAAATTTAATATTCAACAATATTAATCCATTAATTTTTTCCACTATTGTGCTGCATTAAGATTACATATTGCATTTTCAAACACTAGAAAATTTCCCCCTTCGTGATTTTCTAGTCAATGCAATATGTAATCATAATAATAGGAATGACTACAGTCCCGTTACGGAATTATTCTGTCAGTGTTTTTAACCATAGACTAGATTATCTACACTACACTAAACTAAATTTGTATCTAACGGTTAAAAAATCTTTCTTATTTAGTTAGTTATTTATTTGGAACAGAATACGCGTATACTTCCAAGGCGACTACCAAATGCGATGTCTACAGTTTTGGTGTGGTATTAATGGAGCTACTGACGGGAAAAAGGCCGGTCGAGCCAGAATTTGGCGAGAACAAGAACATTATATATTGGGTCGCAACTAAAGTCGAGACCAAAGAAGAGGCCGCTGATGTGTTGGACAAGCGTGTTTTGGGCACGTACAGAGAGGACATGATCAAAGTCCTTAAGATCGCAATACGTTGCACGTGCCGAAATCCGGCTTCACGGCCAAATATGAACGAGGTGGTACAGCTCCTTATCGAGGCTGACCCGTGCAAATTCGACTGTTGCAAGTTTTCCGGCAAGGATAATAACCAAGTAGAAAATAATGATCCCATCAAGATTAAGGAGCAGCTTGATGTATGAGGTCTCTAATTATAGGGTGAATTAACTATATGAAGTTCTATATGTTCTATACGGTATAGGGGTTGACAATAATAGTCCTGCAAAAATTTACATCTTGTAAAAATAATAAATAAATGAAAAAAGTCAAAACTTTCAACTTCCATCAATCAAAGGACTATAATGAGCAATTTTGAAAGTGGCGGGACTTTTTTTGTTTTTATTACTCGTGAGGTTTTTGGGTGGGACTATTATTTTAATATTTTCAACCCGCTAGCTCACACAACTATGTATTGACTATTGATTAACTAGTATTATTTTAAGACAACCATACACCGTGATACACGTTACTGTCTTTTTGTTTCTGTTGCTTGATCAATTTTGTAAATGTTAAAGAACCGTTTGATCGGGTTGCATGCTTTATTGCAATTGGCAAGGCATAGCATCTTCTGTTGCGACATATATCAATAATTGATTAACAAAAGCAAAAATAATTCTGTTTGCTTTTTATGAAGATAGTTTGGATTGTTTGTCATCATTTTCTTTGAGTGATCCAATCAAAAGAAAAGGAAGGCATTTTCTTTAAGAGTGGAAGATTTTGATTCGAAGAGAATTCTTTTTATTTACATGAAAGTGGGGTTTCAGATTCTGCATTTATGATTTGTGAGTTATTTTAACTCATTATATATGCAAATATGCATTGGAAAAGACGGAAAAATAAAAGAGTGAGCTTAAAACTGATTTATGAGAGCATCTTTGTCTCCATTTTGAGGTGGGGACACAACTAAATAAAAGCACCAGCCTTTTTATATATATACATAGGCCATATTAGTACTTTGTAAATATATATTGTTCTTGCTTTTTCTTTCTCTAAGTGGATTTCCTCATAATGCTCGACCAGAAATGAAATAACAGGGAAAGCTTGTTTCACCCGTAGATGGTGTGCCATTAACCAAAACACCTCTCAACTCCACACATCCAACAAAACACTAGTAAGTAACATAATAAATGAAAGTCAAATGCTACTATTTTTTTGTCGAAACGATAGAAACTATATAAAGAAACACATATTACATTATTTTAGTCTAGGAGCATCAATATTGAATAATCGAGAATCAAATTTAAGAAACGAAAACTTACCGATGGATTCATCTCGATTGATTCCCTTGAAACTTAAATTTGAGATTTGAAGAACTTCCAAAAGTCGTGAACCAAAAAACTCTTACCTTCTGATGTAATGAAGAAAACTGATGAAAATAAGGGGAACGGTTTCTCTTGTAATACATCTTAATTAGGAAAGACCCACAGCTGCCCTTAGGCCCTCTTTATAATTATCACGGTTTTGGAGACTCCATCCATAAATAATTTGTCCCAAGTAATTATCTAATTAGGTCACTTAAGTTTATTATTATTATTTGTTACGTCATCGAATAATAATATTATTACCGGGTGTCCATATTATATTTAATCATTTCACAATTTAAATTAATTTTCTTAGCCAATATATCTGTACAATAATTTGATCACTTAATTTGGCTAAACAACGTTGCGTCACTTTGTCATGAAGCAGGTTGAACACCTAAATATTATGACTGTTATGATTATATTTATATTTCTATATATATAATTATAGGAAAAGAAACTATAACATTTGCGTTAATCAAGTAATTATATTATGTATTTTTATTGCATAATCTATATCTATTGTTTGTCCCATTTCTGTTGCGTTTTTCCTTGTTATTTTTCCTTTCTTTTGCTCCCATATTAGGTCTTTTAGTTAGTTTTTATCTCGTTTTGTAATTTATCGCGTGTTTTACTCTATCTTGGTTTTTCTTGTGTTTTCCGTATGTTTTTCCGATTTTTCTTCGTTTATGGTGTGTAGGTCGAAAGCTTCGAGAAGATCTAATTTTTGGCAAAAGTCAGTCGGGCAAGCATAAGTAGATAGAAGAGTTCGTCGGCGTCACACATGAAAAAACGGAACTCAATTCCGAGTTCAGACGAATCCGAACGGGGCCGAAACATAAAGTCCAGCAAGCTGCCGACCGTTTGAAGGTTGGAAAACTCCAAAGGATTGAGCTATAGGAAAAATCTGGTCATGAAAGAATCATTGAATAGAGGGGTTCGTTAGCAACGCGTAGAAAAAACAGAACTCAATTCCGAGTTCGGACGAGCCTAAACGAGCCCAAGACGTGAAGAAGTGCGAGCTGCACACCGCGCCGCGGCAGCACCGCGACCCGAACTGCGACCCCTGCTCCTGCTCTCGCGCCCGTGAAGACCTGCCGATCCACGCCGCGCCACACCAGCCCTGCCGCGTCGTGTCGCGCCTTCCTCACGCCATGGCTGACTTTTCTTATAAATATGTGTACGGGAACTCGTTTTATTCATTCTTCCCCTCCTGGGGACGAACCCTAGGCCCGTAAATACACCACAGAACTCCTTTCATCTCCTCTCCTTCTTCTTCTTCGTTTTTCTTCTTCTCTTCACCATTCTCTTTCATTTTTTTTCCTTCTTCTTAATAATTAGGATTAAGCTTGTAACTTGAATTCAACTTTGGAACTTGGATTGATTGTAAGTACTCCTTTCTCTTATTTAATTCATGAATAATGGTTATTTGAGAGGAATGGTTATGATTGTTGAATTTGATTACATAGCTAAATCTGATTGCTAGGGATAGGGGATGATTGTTCTTGTTTAACGTGTATTTGTCGAGCTTAAATTGTTCATGCTTATGTGAGTTAATCTAATTAGGAATTGATGTAATCTTGCTTGATTGATTGATATAATCGAAGAGTGACACTTCTATCTTACGATTGTAAACGATTGGATGTTAATTTGTCGAGTTAGGGTTTGTTAATTCTATATGATTAGTTGATTAAATACCTTCTAATTTAATTAGCGATTTTTCGAACTGAAAGGAGAGAAGTCGTAGACCTTGGCTTGCATGAGATAGATAATTTCGTAACTGAATAATCTATGGGTTGAGATTGAAATACGTGCTTGTCAATGACCTGTCCTTTGTTACGAAAAGTTATTGGGATTGGGATAATTGGCCTGTGTTGTATGCTCGAGCTTGTTCGTCTATGTTCAATCCCTTGTTACGAAGAGTTATTGGGAGCGAACCGCTAGATGTTTAAGCGATGGTGTCAATCTCGAACCGAACAATTGATTGCCCGATTTTGCTAAGAACTTGAATAAATTATCCCCGATTCCCTAGCTTCCCCATCTTTGTTCCGTTCTCTTATTCTTAGGTAGATTATTGCTTTTTTTTTTCTTTCTTAGTTAATAATTATTCAAAAACCCTATTTGATTAGAGCGTTTAGGATTTTATTTTCTTTTCGTGTGAAATCAATACCGAAGCTAAATTCCGAACTGCCTTCCTCGAGAGATCGACCCGAGGTCGGGAGTCATCCCGTACTCGGTAAAAATAACAATTTGTGCTACAACAATATATATATAAAGAGGTTGTTGAAAAAATACATTAATAAAAATTTTGACCAAATAAATATAATGTTTGACTTACTATTAATGGAAAGTTTGAAAAAACACATGTAAATCTTTAGAAACAAAATCTGAATCCTATTTTTTTGGTAATCAATTTAGAGATTCTTGTGGCAAAATTTTAATCCCATTTTTTTTGTATCAGATTTTATTTTTTTACCAAAATTTAGATCATATCTTTTTTGGTAACAAATTTAGAGATTCTTATGCAAAAAATGTGTCAATTATTTATGAAAACAATTCTAAATACAAATCAATTTAAAAACCGTGCAAATTGGATACAAATTTACGAAATAAATAGTTGTATAATTTCTAACCAATTCATCCAATCTTAATGAATAATTTTTTCTTTCATAAAAAGTGTGTAAATTGGTTAAAACCACGTGCAATTTTTATTTTAAAATAAAACTGATATTTGGACGGGATGTACATTCAAAATTGTCCCCACATTTTTGGGTAACCAAAGCGATTCATCTTTTAAAATAATTAATTGCACACCATATTTAGAAAGTTTTAGATATTTTAATTCATAAAATAGGGTAGCATTAAATGCCCCTAAAATTATGGGTTTTGTTGAATTTATTTTTGAAAATTTCGACAAATATTAAAGTGAATATGAAATTCAAAAATCTCTTCTCATTTTATTTTTAATAAAATCTGCATCCAAATTTACGTGTGGTTTTGAAGTGAAAATTTGAAATTTAAAATCTCTTCTCATTTTAGTTACAAGAAAATCGGACTGCATTCAACACTTGGACCAATTTAAAAATTATTCCTTAAATGAAGGAATTTATAGATAATTGTTATCTCTACTCAATCACATGATTATTTTAAATATAAAAAGAGACAGATTACAAATTAGTGAATCATATATTACCTAATTCAATATCTTAACATTAAGGAATAAAACCATAATATTATGTAAATCCGTATCTCTTATTATTATATTATTAAGAATATATTATAATTATATTATCAAATCTTTTAAAGATATTAAATCCATATTGTAAAAAATATAATTCATATAATTTTATAACAATTCTACTACACTATTTAACAATATTCATTTTTATTATATAATAAAATAATAATTAAATATTATATCCTGAACAATAATAAGTAAAACTGTTACTTTCTCTTATATCAAGGGATAAATTTATATGCTAAAATTAAATTTTTATTAGTATAAATATTTTAGTGAGATAATATATTAATTACAAGCTAGCCTTAACATGCTCATATTTAATGTTCTTATTAAAAAAAAAAAACAACGCTGGTTAAAAGATGTGGAAAAAAAACTTATAATCACCTTATTATTTTTTAGACTTAACGTTGATTAAAAGAGGTAGAAAATAGATAATAACCATATTATTTTTTAGACTTAAACGGACAAGGGTGTGAAAATAACTCATTTAATATCTTTGTCCCGTGCATCGCACGAGGTACGTACTAGTAACTAATAATAACTAATCATAAGTCATACTAAATGATATATGAAAATGTATACATATAAAAAGTTCTCTTTAAGTTTTTTAAACTATTTATTTAAAATAATTATTATATTCGTTTTAATTCATTACGATTTTTTTGTTAGTATTAGTTAATTTCTTTTATGGCATAAAGAAACCACTTAAAAAATTATGCTCACAGTTACTATAATAATAACTTAGTATTTTCTTGTTTAATTAATAGGTCATAATCACTCAAAATTTTCAAATTTACACTATTGCAACCAATATAGCCATATCTATGTAGGCTAATATTTTTTTACTTATATCATTTATGTTTATAAACAATAAAATTTATAAAATACTATACTCATTATCTAACTTATAATTTTAAATACCATATACACTTACAAAATAACATATAAAATTTTATATGCAACTGTATATGCATATGATTAGTTCAAAATTATTTCACTACACACATTTTTTAATTATTAAGTTAGTTAATACCCAATTACGAAATCGTTCGTGCTCTACCATTGACATTGAAAAATTGTGGCATAATTTAATTGGTACTGTGTAATGGATGTCAAATGAATGTACTTGACATAAAATTTAGAACCAACTTCAATGCACTTATTTTAGACTCAATGTCTTGACTGTTTAAAATTAAATTTAACTAATAAATAGTTTAATGTCTCAACTAATATTTATTTAATTTACAGATAACCAACAAAGACCCATGATTTGCAACATGTTCATTAGTTGTGACTATTTTTTTTAATACAAACAATTAAAAGTACGAGACGCTTGTACTTGACAGGTATTTTTATAAAATTTTATTTTATTTTTCATTAAAGGTTTTAGTTTAAATTATTTATCTAATTTTTTTTCATAATTTATACTTTACAAATTAAAATAGTTATAAGTGTTCGTATGCTTCTTGCCTGAATCTTATAAATTTTTTTATCTTAAATTTTGTATATAAAAATTAAATCTAATAGTAGTGAAATTGGATATAAAATATTTTAAAAACATGCGCAATGAATAACACACAAACATTCTTCATAACAAATAAATAAATAAATAACAACATGTTTGTAGAATATTTTTATTTCATTTTCTACAACAACAAATTAAATCTAATAACAGTAAAATTAGATATAATATGTTTTAAAAACATGCGCGTAAATAAATAAATACATAACATCATGTTTGTAGAATATTTTTTGATTTATTTTCTATAAGTTGAAAAATCTAAAACATATGATCATGATTAAATTAACCGATTATACAAATAGTATTATATATACAGGGGTTGGTTCAAATAAAAACTAGTCTTGGTGTGAGAACCGTGAAAACCGTTTTTGATGCTATTTTTTAATTGTGTATGATGTTATTTTTCATATTTGATGATGCTATCATTTTTACAATTGCTACCAGAAATTGTTTTGCTACTTTTAATAAAATTTATCCTAGTTAAATATAGCATCAAACACAATCAATCATAGCACTATGCCCAAATAAACATAGCGGTTCTCACACTATAGGGGTGGTTCAAATAAAAACTAGTCCTAGTGTAAGAACCGTGAGAACCATATTTGATGCTATTTTTAATTATGTATAATGCTATTTTTGATATTAAATGATGCTATCATTTTCACAAATATTAATATAAATTATGTTGCTATTTTTCATAAAATTCATCCTCATTAAAAATAGCACTAAAACAAATCAATCATAGCACTTCATACAATTAAAAATAGCGATTCTCACGTTAAGACTTGGTTCTCATTTGAACCACATCCTATATATATATATATGCAATATATGTAATAAATATTATTTTACATAATATAAAGAGTATTTGGTAAATACCTTTTGTATTTAGTAGTAATATCGCCATAACATAAGAATATGACTTAAATGTTAAACGGTAGGTAATTAATTATTTTATACTTATAAATTTATGTTCATAAAATATTTTGTAGGTAAATTCCTTTGAATTTTCTCGAGCCATTGTGTTGAGTCACGTTGTTATGTAGACTTTCTACCTCCACACAATGGGTGAGAAAGTGGTCACACCACGTCAAAAAAAATATGGGCCAAGACAGTGAACATTGGAGAAAAAAGACGATGTTTAAAATACTTATGTGGCATATATTTTTTGGACTCAACAATCCCGCAATGCTCTAACAAACATGCTAATAATTAATTAGAAAATAAAAAAAGCATTTTGAAACTACTGAGTTTTGAAAGGCTTGTATTTCTTGACATCTTGGGCAAGTCCTTGTATGGATCCAATTGCAGCCACAAGCGATACAATAAAACAAACCCAACTCAACACTTTCAGCCAAATCCACCTAAAGGAGTATTTAGGTATTTTGGCCTGCGCAATATGCATCTCGATCGGGAAGTAAACGGTTAACGGGTAAAACGAGGCAGCCCCAATCAACCCCAAGAAGTCGTTGAAAAAGGGGAATATCATGGCAATCACGGAAGTTATCACAACGTAGATCGTACGCCACACGAGCCGGAAAAAGTTGATGTTGTAAGACCCATTAAGCAACGAGTGCTCGGCCATTATGAATTTGCTCTCGGGCCATTTTCTGGCGCACCAACTCTCCACGAACCCGAATAACGGCTGCGCGAAAACCTATTACCAATTGTTTTATTTTATTATTGGACAATATAAGTTAAGAAATAATAATAATAATAATAATAATAGGCGAGAATGCAATTTTAATACTATTGGTTTAGCGTCATAGCAATTTTAGTCTAAAGATTCTAATTTTTCGCCATTTGGCCGAATGATTTAAAATTTCGTTGTAATTTCAGTATTTTGAAAATTGAAATTACAACAAACTTTTAAATTACAGGACTTACATTGCTAATACAAAATCTGAAAATTTGAGAATTTGTTGCAATTTTAGTCTTTAAATGACTGGTATTGCAGCACAATATTAAATCACAAGACCAAAAAGCAAAATGCTGAAACTTTGAGACTAAAATTGTTATGGCGTTTAACCAAGATGACTAAAAATATAATTTTTCAATAATAATGATAATAATAATAATAATAATAATTGTAAACCTGGTAAGCACCAATTAGATGGACAGCAATGCAAATGTTGGCAAAATCAATTAACCAAAAGGGCTCGTAAAATCCGAAGCCGGTGAGGAAATTCCCGGGTGCGTCATTTCCGAACGCTGCATAACCTATGCAGCCACAAAGCACGTAGAATATGGTCGTTGTTGTTACTCCCACAAATGAAGCCCTTTTCATTACTTTGTTCTCCGGTGGATGGGACTTTAATGTGTCCTGTTAACAATATAATCATAATTAATTTAACTCAGTTCAACAATAAAATCCTAATAGAATAGTTGACAAAAGTAAAATCTTTAATCTTTTGGACATGGAAATTGTTCGCTGTGCCCGG